CCTCTTTTCACAAACAACAGATCCAGCGGGGCACCCTCCCTAGTTGGCTCACTCACTGGCTGTGTCAGGAAGTTATCCTCTTCCACACACTTCAGGAACCTCCTGGACTGTTTCCTCTTCGTTGTATTGTATTTCCAGCAGACATCTGCTAAGTTGAAGTCCCCCATGAAAACAAGGGCTAGCGATTGTGAGACTTCTCCCAGCTGCTTATAGAATATTTCATTTGCCTCTTCGTCCTGGCTGGGTGGTCTATAACAGACTCCCACCATGGTATCTGCCTTGTTGGCCTTCCCCGTAATTCTTACCCATAAACACTCAACCCTATCGTCACTGTCATCAAGCTCCAGACAATAAAAACACTCCCTAATGTACAGGGCTACCCCACTGCCTCTCCTTCCTTGCCTTTTCCTTCTGAAGAGTTTATAGCCGTCCATTACAGCACTCCTGTTGTGTAAGTCATCCCACCACGTTTCTGTGATTGCAACTATATCATAGTTTTCCAGCTGCAAAATAGCTTCCAGTGCGTTTGTGTAGATGCACTTCAGTTGCGCTGTTGATCCCATCACCTTTTTGTGGGGAAAAGCCCTAATTCCTACGTGTCCATTCTCAGGTGCTTCCGTGGTTTCTAACACATCAATAACCCTTGCGTCTGTGCTGCCTTATAGATCTGCATCCCCTACCTCCACTGAGGGTTAGTACACCATCCCTCAAACATTGGCATGCCACCCCCAGGTTTATCTCTAGCAAGCCTTTGACATATTAACAATTTAAAGGACCAAGAGTGTTTGGCTAAGTTTTTTTCCCCTGAGAATAAAATAATCAGTCTAACAATTAACTAAGGGAGGAATATTGTTCATCCTTTCTTCATCAGGTTGTGCTCCTTTCCTTCTACTTCCAAAAAACGTTATTGCTAAGGCTGTTGATACAATGGCTTTCCACTTTGAAAAAAGATTGCACTATTTTTTGTAAAAGCTAGCTTCAATCCCGCGTTAGATTGCCTACCTCAGCTATTTTAACTTCCAGTCTTAGAACCGACTTCATATCAGATTCAGCTCGTGAAGCATTTGCGCCCAGAAGCACTGCTGTATCAACCATGAACTGCAAAAAGGCATCTCGGTACTGTAAAGAAACAAAAAGAGTGAAATGACTGCTGGATTTGCTCTTGAGCACAGCTGTGGCAGTAGACCGGAAACGCCCAGCTATAGCAAGGAGAATAATACTTTGTACTTTCATGCCCTAGCAACCAAAGTTGTGCTTTCCTTACCTTCAACGTCTGCTGTCATGAAGGTAAAAAGGAGAAATAACACTGTAAACATACTGTGTGTGACAGAGAGAGATACCTGCTGTGGTTCATGGGGTATAAATCTCAGGAAATGCAGATGACACTTTTGGATTAGACTCACAATGCTCACAGCTCTTACAATGGGATTAGACAACGTGTATGAGTGTACACCAATATTTTATGCCAACTCATACAGTAATCAGTGTAGGATTGAAAAAGTACTTGTATACAAGTACAAGCTTCGTGGCTGAGAGGATAGGGAGATAAAGGGATGCTCCACTAAGCTCTCTCCTCTATTCCTGCCACGGCACTGCAACACATGTACCTGCTACAGTGCTCTGCTCTGCTCTCCCCAGGCTATTGTAATAAAGCACATTTTAGTCTCAGTGTGTAGACAAAAATGTTAGCAAAATACACTGTATAATGATACTGTAGTGATTTCTGTGCTATCTGCCCCCCAGTACAATCTTTCAGAGATTTTGGAGGGATCAGATTGTTCCTCATCAACTCCCACTGGCCCACAGTCCAACAAAAGCAAGAACATATCCCAAAGCATTTCCACCTTTAATCTTTTAGTAGATACAATTCTTTGTATCCTGGCATCATCTAGTCTAATAGATATGGCTAAAAAACTTACTAACCTCTCAGGGAACTCAAAAGGGAAGCAAAACTGCAAAAACTTAATCAGTAGCAACGACTTGTCCCCCATGACAACCCAAGGGGTTGTTTTCTTTGAGCTTTGGGCTGCATGTACTGGGATACTGCCCACAGGCCTTCATCAAGTGAGGGGGAAAAAGGTGCTGCCATTGTCAAATATTGATATATTAAAGCCTTTGATAAACATCATTGGTTCACGACTGCTGTCCATAGAAAAGCAGCAAGAAACTAAGCTGTAGCAGAGAAATCATAAAGGTGGGGGGAAAGAGGAAATGAATACTTGAAATCTGTTGAGGAACTCTCGTTCCCTTCCTTAAATGAATTCAGGTTAACTTGATGATAATAACCTGCAGTGGCTCTTGATACGTGCTCAGCCTTCTGGCTTAATTGAGCCCAAGAGGCAGCCCACAGACATAGCTTCTGGGTTCCACTTCGTTGAAATATTCTTGAGCTTCTGGGCACTTTGTCCACCATCTGGGAACTCCTGGGTCTCCCCCAAGGGATGTGAGGGCTCCCGCTGCCACCAGGTCAGGTAAGAGCTAAGGTGAGGGTAGCTCCAGCAGCTGCTAATTCTGGCAGCTGTGATTGATCGAAGGGTGCCCACGGCCTTTCTTCTAGCCGACTCCTGATCAGGGAGGGTCAAGCCCTCTTTGAGTCCGTGCCAGAGAGAGGCCTACATAAGAGCCAGGCCCAGAGCACAGCTCCCAGAGGCTGACAACAGATGCAGCAGTTCACAAAGAAAAGGCCAGCAAACTTTGTCTGGCATACCCATCCTTAGATATGGTAGTCACACACCACAGGACATGATCCCCAGGCACTGCTGGTGTAACTGTCTCTTTGTTATCGGGCTCTTGGACCCAGATGGTGCTTCATAAGGAAGGATGCAACTCTGCAAGTCTCAGGCTCTGCAGGGAGTGCCTGAGGCCTCTCATTAAGGCTGGGGCATATGGTCTTCTGGCATGCAGGAGGTGAGCAGTTGCCGAGGAGCTGTGCTGCCAAGTGAGAGCTGTGAGAGGACAGCAGACCACACAGCCTCAGAGGACATGAGAAAGATCAACCAGACCTCCCCTGAGACCCTGCAGCTTCAAAAGCCTGAACCTTCAGCTGCAGCAGAAGAGCAGGAGGAGCCTGTGCCTATGAAGCTGGAAAGTGGAAACTCCCATCATAATGAAGGCTGGAAGTCCACTGCTCCTGTAGCTGATGAGGGCCCAGAAGCGCTATCAATTGGAGCACTGTGGCTGAGCCCGAGCCCCTCAGGACCACCAGAGGAAGAAGCAAGTGACAGTGGTAAGAGGCTCACTACTGCAGGGGATTGAGGCCCCCATCTGCCAGCTTGATCTGTCATCTATGGAGGTTTGCTGTTTGCTGGGGGTCTCGCATTCAGGATGTTGTGAAGAGGCTACCAAGGCTTATCCAGACCTCTGGCTACAATTCCCTGCTACTCTTCCTGGTAGGCACCAATGCTATTGCCAGGGGTGACCTGGGAAGTATCAAGCATGACTACAGGGCTATGGGGACAGAGATCAAGGGCATGGGGCCCAGGTGGTGTTCTCCTTGATCCTGCTGGTGAGGGCCAAGGGCCTGAGAAGGACATGACAGATCTTGCATGTTAGCATCTGGTTGCGCAGCTAGCATCAGCAGCAGAGATTTGGTTTCTATGATCATGGCACCCTCTTTGAGAATTCATAGCTGCTCGGAAGAGATGGGATCCATTTGACTAAACAGGGCAAGGGTATCTTTGCCAACAGGCTGGCCAATGTGGTAAGGAGAACTTTAAACTAGAAACAATGGGGGAGGGAGTGATTCCTCAAGAAACTACTAAGAAAGGTGCGGATAGGGTAGGCAAACCAAGGGCCTGGAGTGGGAAAAGAGGGGACATAACAATCAACAAAACAGAGCTGAAATGGAACCCCTTTGAGGGTAGGTATGCAAAGAAGGAAGTACCTGCAGGAACAGCCTTATAAGGAAAGCCCTCAAGGCCATACTGAAGAATCAGCATGACTGGGTGTCCTTTGGAAATACCTTTACACTAACGCACACAGCATGGGGAACAAACAGGAGGAGTTAGAAGTCTGCATGGAGTTACAGGGCTATGACCTCACTGGGCTCACAGAAACATAGTGGGATAACTTGCACAACTGGAGTGCTGCAATGGATGGATACAGGATTTTTAGGAAGAACAGGCTGGGAAGGTGAGGAGGGGGAGAGACCTTTATGCGAGAGACCAGGGCAAATGCACGAAGCTCTACCTGAGTTCCTCCAAGGTCAAGAAAGGTCCATTCTGACAAGCAGGAAATCGAGCAAAGGTGCTAGGAGTCCTGCATGGGTGTACAAGGAGCTCCTAACTAAAACTAAAACATAAGAAGGAAGTGTATAAGCGGTAGAAGCACAGACAGGTGACCCAGGAGTACAGAGTTGCTGACAAATCTTGCAGGGATGTGGTTAGGAAAGCCAAGGCCAACCTGAAGTTGAATCTGGATGTGAAGACCAATGAGAAAAGACTCTTCAAGTACAAAACAGCAAAAGGAAGACTAGGGAGAACATGGATCTGCTGTTAAATGGAGCAGGGTGACAAATGACTCTGAAAAGGCCAAGACACATTGCTAACTTTGCTCCAGTCTTTACTGGTAAGACTGGCCTTCAGGAATCCCAGGCCCCTGAGACCAGAGGGGAAGTCTGGAGCAAGGAGGGCCTATCCTCAGTGGAAGAGGATCAGATTAGGGAGCAAAGTGGACATAACTAAATCCAGGGGGTCTGATAGGTTGCACTCACGAGTGCTGAGGGAGCTGGCTGATACCATTGCAAGTCCACTCTGGGTAATATTTGTAAGATCATAGCTATTGGGAGAGGTTTCTAAAGGCTGGAAGAGACCAAGTATCACCCCTATCTTCAAGGAATACAAGAAGGAAGATCCAGGGAACTACAAGCTCATCAGCCTCATATCAATCCCTGGGAAGGTGATGGAGAAAATCCTCCCAGAAACTATTTCCAAACACATGAAGGACAAGGTGATTGGGAGTACTAAGCACGGATTTATGAAAGGGAAATCATACTTAATGAGCCTGATAACCTCCTACAATTACATTAATATCTTTGTGGATGAGGGGAGAGCAGTTGTGGTCATTCACCAAGTTGAAAAATTGTGAGTTAGAGAAGTGCACAGTGAGGTAGACTGAAAATGAGCTCAGTGACCAGGTCCAGAGGGTTGTGATCAGCAGCACAAAGTCCAGTTGGAGGCCAGTCACTAGTAGTATATTCCAGAGGTCAACCCTGCTTGAGAAAAGGGGTTGGTCAAGATGAACTCCAGAGACCCCTTCCAAGGGGGAAGAAAAGCAGGGGGGACCCCAAATCTTACAAAAATCTTCATTTGAGAAACTTTGCAAGAGTGTTTGTGGTAGTGGTGCTTGTAGTGGTGGTGTTTTCTAATAGAAGATATCTTGAAAAATCCAAATCCAAACAAACCACAACCCTTTCTCAGTTTGGAGCTCAACAAAATAAAAGCAACAATGAAAAAAAACTGAGAGGAAAAATGGTGATTCCGATTTCCAGTTAATAATACTTACAGATTTGGCTTCTGTAGTGTTTTCTAGGTAATCCTCACGAGATGCAAGAGAGAGGCTTGCTTGGTCGAGCTGTTAAAAATAACAACAAGCAGCAGTTACTAGGTAAATTCGTCAGAATTCAAAGGTAGTCCTATAAGCAACCTTGGAAGAGTTCATGTTTTTCTGGCAATTATGATAGATGTGTGTAAATATCTAATAAATAACACACTGCACCAGTCTGAGTTCCACAGGATTTCAAAAGAACAGAAAAATGTTATACTGTGCTGACAGACATTACGTAAATCACATTACTGTGATCTGGGGAGCCTCAGATGCCCCCTGCAAAATCTGAGCCACCTGCTACAGCAAAGAATCACCTACGTGATCTATGTGTTTATGGCTCCATGAGCAAGTAGGTAATGCAATAGGACTGAGTCTCCAGGATCAAACAGTTGGTGCTGACAACCATTCATCCTATACATATTTCAGGGGCACAAGAGTCAGCTTGAGACAAACACTAGTCTAGTGTATGGACCAAATGCCCATTAGGTGCTGGAGCATGTTAGCTGCTGCGTATCTGGAAAGCATCATTAGCCGCCTTTGACTGAAACTGAGGTTACACCTTTGAGCTTCACCCTAGACCAGCACTGGGTGCTGTATTTGGCTTTTTGAACAGATGCACTGAAACAGCTGGATACCAGCCACAGAAAAGATCGCATGCATGAACAGGAAATTATTATGCCTCTAGTACATTAGCTAAAGATGTCTGACAGGTCCAGGTGGATCTTTGACTTTCATTTGTCTTTTGATCTAAACATGGATCAAATTTGTTGGTCTACAGTCACCTTAATATTGAAATAAGGTCCTCAAGGTAATTTCTAAACCAGTCCTGAAAGTTCATTGAGATCTGCACTTACTCTTTGAGTGAAATGACTACATGGGAGTATTTGCATACTGTTTCAAGTTCATAACCAGGCAAAACTCACAGCATAGCATATATCTTAAAATTACTACTGGAAACTGAGATTTCCCAAAACACTTCAACACGATCAGGTTAGGTTAAGCTATGGAAGCCGAAGCTGAAAACATAATTCAACCAGCTTCCAAACTCTGAATAAGATACTGATTGGAGCAGAAACAACAGTTTTGATGTTGTAAAATTATTATTTTGATGCTGTATTTGTTTTTAAGAGATAAGTCTAGTGAAGATTTATTCATACAATTTCGTATGTCTTTTTAAATCTCAATCCTACACCACTTATATTTCACATTTTCTAAATTTATAAAAATGACCTGAATAAATACAACTTAGAATCTAAAATGAATGAATAAATGTCATCTTTTCCTCTACTGGCTGATGTTCTCAACCTTTAAAATATACCATAAACAAATAAGACAAATCATCCACTAAAAGGAGCGTAGCTGCGATGCTCAGTGCAGCTCTGATTCTTTGAAAATCAGTATCACCTTCTTTTTTCAGCCTATGGAAGCAAAAAGAATACACTCTTATGCTTTGCATATGTGTGTCCTGGTAATAGTTAACTTCAGATGATTTGGTCTATTTCAATTATGTGACTGTTGCATAAAATGCTCATCCAAATTTTCCTGGCTTAAGAGTTGGATTTGACAATGCATTGAAACCAAGAAAGCGCAAATATGAGAAATAAACAAAAAAGTTAACCAACTTCTTCAGCCCCCAAGAAAAAAGATCATGTTGAATGCTGAACAAAGTTTTATTTGGAATTTCTACTTTTTTCTGATCCATTCATGATTTTGCAATGCTGAACAAAAAGAATTTTGCAATAGAGCCGTTTTCACAAGCAGATTGAAATACTCCATGGTACATCTGCACCCCTGGGAATTTGTTGAAACACGGACAAAGTAGAATACTGGCTGATGCATTCTGCAGATCAAATTCTTAATCAAATTAACAACAACAGAATACCCTACAGAATAATATGTTATTCATAGCATGTAGTGCTTCAGTTATTTAGATGCCTAATTCCTAGGTGCTACTAAACATACTGAGTGAAGATGCTGCTAGGTATAATTCATTTCCAAGAGACCAGCAATAAGGATATAACTGCCCAGCCCTTCGCTGACAGGTGACTTGGACTGAAATATTATGACAGGAGACGCCTAAATATCTCTCCCGATTCTACTGTTTCAGTTCTTTTAAACAAATCTCCAGCTGAAGCAATCCTGACAGGATCTGAACATCATCTTAGCAGAATGACATCTTTAGTACAGCGAACTGTTGGTCTGCTATTGACTTGACTATTCAGGAAAATGTCCTAGAGATGGAGAAAAGTTACCCTTCAACTTTATACCAGTTAAATGCCTTAGTCAAAAGATGTTTTAAAGAACTGATGCAGAATCAACATCCACTCCAGTACCACCACAGTTAACTGTTGTTTGATCCCCAAATACAATGTATTCTTGGCTGTATTCCTATAGCTAGCCAAGATGCTAGCAATGTAAGGATCATAGATCCTATTTTGCTGTAATGAATGGCATCATAACTTTCTTCTTTGTCCCTTCTCTCTTGCCTTCATAAACTATTTTCTTGTAGCAGTGGAGGGCTGGTCTACTCTGGTTACTCATCTCTACTTCTTAAACAACAATGCATTTGGCCCAGGCATTCAGACTTGCCATGGTGACATCTCACAATAATAGTTATAATTGCCTCCAGAGTTTTGTCAGACTACAGTGAGGCAACATTTCTTGGGTCTTTTTTTCACTGATCTAATCTAAACTGTTGTGTAATACCATGCACTGTTAACAAACTGGTAATGCTTTTGTCCAAAAGCAATAGCACTTCAGTAAAAAGGTAAATTCTCTATTTCAGGTTTAGAAGTGCTTGGGATACATCTATGTTGTAAGGTGCCGTATAAGCACAAGATTATTTCCATCTCAAAAAAATAGCTCAAGTTCAAAATATCTGCTATTTCCATCTCAAAAAAAGTAGCTCAAGTTCAAAATATCTGCTACCGATGCACCATTCTTCATCTTCACAGACAAAAAACATTCTTCATGCAATTTATGAGTCATAAGCAGCACCCAGAACACTCCCAGGACTGGATATCCACCTCTCTCATTTTCACACACATAGACCCTGGATATTGGTCCACTGGGAACATAGTTTACCTTTTTTTGCCATTTGAAAGGAGAAAATATCCTGTACAGAAATATTTTTCAATAGCGTGTGGTTCCTAGTGGCTTCTACATTCCCATAAATTGGCACCTATGAACATCTGTAAGTCAGTAGATAATAGCAACAATAATCAAGTGTAAACATTTGGCATGTAAGCATGTTTTTAAAAAAATGAGACCACAAAATCCCATGCAAAGTAACCTATTAGATATGCTATATTTTACCTTCAGGATATACTGATTGGAGATTTTGTCATCAGCAGCCACATATAAACGGATGAAGACAGAGTTACTGTATTGACCACGAAGAGTTGCCAAGGCTTGGACTAAGCTAAACTTCCTTTCTGACCACAGCCCTTCAGGTCCAATGTTGGATTCCAGCACAGGCCAGCGGAATGGTGAGTGCCTCAGTATACTTAACAGGGGTTTCACGTCGGCTTTTTCAATTTTATCTGAAATGTCAAAGTGTGACAACAATTACATTCCAGACAATTCAAATCCAGCAGCAGCCACACGAGACACAAAGATTTATTGGCGTTGATCAATTTCTAGGCAAGACAAAACACAATAGCTGAAACCCAAAGCCTCTGTGAGCATAGAAGCACAGGAATCCAACCCAGTTTATCTGAATCAAGAACAAGAGAGGCAAATCAGTTCCTTTCAAAAAAGGCAAGAGGCTGGAATTAAGTCTATTAAAAAAAAAACATTCCTCACTTAGGAACCAGTATACAAACTTCACTGGTTCTGAGAGGGGATTATTGTACATAATCAGAGCTAGAGGGGTCAACATCTCGGCACCGAGGCTGTGGGGCAGACTGTCTCAATTGCTGACAGTAAGTCTCAGGTTGTATTGGAAGAAAATTGCTTGGGAAATAAAGTCTGAAAGAGTCAGAAGGACAAAGTCCACTCCCTCCCAACTCATCTTTCACCCATGCAGCTACATAAAGGTAGCGATGTGTCCCAACCTAGTGTACATCACCTTACAGCAATATTTACAAGCTCAGGAAAAGCACTCTGCAAATGTGGCTATAGGGCTCCCCATCCAAACTCGCTTGACATCCAGATAATTTGAAGCTAAAGAATCCATGGCTGTCTATACCCAGCCCTGTGGAAGTGTTTTGATTAAATGTATTTAGAGAAAAGTAGAAGGTGCTGAGCAACAGGCTCTTGAAAGTGTCAGTATGAGAATTCCATCAGAGGGCTCCTCTGATGTACTAGGCACTCCTCCCACACCCCCGGGGCACGGTTTTGGCATCCTTTTGCACAGATAAATATTCCTTCACAGTTCCCTGACAAGCAGAGGTCTCTGTAAAACTGACTTCTTGCGCCTTGATGTACCTCAGTCTCAACAGCCAACTTCAGAAATGTGTGGAAGACCATCTGCATTTAGTTGAATCCAAATCAGCGAAACCTGTGTGCCTGCACAAAGCTTCACAGAGCCCAGCGGAGAGCAAAAAAGCCTACCTTTATAAACACAAGTAACACGTGTGTCCCCCTCAAATCAGGCTACTTACTCTCATTCATGCAGGATGTGTAAAGGGTCTTGGCCTTCTGTACAGCTTCACTGTCTCGTCTTTTGCTGATGGGTTTCTCAAGCAAAGCTGAAAAAAGGAAATGACTTTTTTTTCAATACGTTGGAAAATGTAGGAACTGTTTGCCTGTCTCAGCATTTGCTTTAACCATAGCATTTCTTTCATTAAGGATGAGGTTCCACATGTATTTTCTTAAGCAGTAACACAGACATAATTGCACTTTTTTCAATCCCCAACAGAGAAGGAAGTTTTTTTATTTATTTTTAAGAAGACTGTTTTAAAGCCAGTTGACAGATACTGTTTATTACCCGTCTGCACAAACAGTCCCCCTCAGCAAACTGAGAGGACAGGGAATTGTGGGGCGAGGGTGGGAACCAGTGCACAGGACAGGGAGTCAGGAATTCTTTCAAGTGGCTCAGCCTCTGGGGCTGGTATGTTGTGAAATTGGGGTCTAACAAAGAAGGTGACAGGATCCGAGGAGCAAGACCACTGGCGTTCACTTTGCCAGCTCTGCTGCTGCTGCTGAAAGAAAGCAGTGGAGAACTGCCCTGTTGTCTGTCAAACGCACACAACCTCAGACTTGTAAATGACACAGAAGGCCAAGTATCCAACTACTATTTAAAAAGCTGCGCTATATAGCTCCCTTATACTACAAGTGTCAACATCCTTAGTGTCTGAAAGCCAAACTAGCTTTTCTAAGCTGTCATCTCTCTGCATTCCTTGCATTCCTCACATTATGTTATGGAAGTGAAATAGCATGAAAAGTGCATCTGAACCTCAGCAGTCTGCTGTCAGCTGCCTCAAGCCATTTTATCCAAGTTGTAAATCAACCATGATGCAGTTGCAGATACACATATTATGGCTAAATGCAGAGGCAGCTTAGCTTCAGCAAGATCTATCAGCTCAAGTGCAGCACAGCATGCGCACTTCCATGGCCAAGAAAAGCAGGGTAGTACTTGGGCACAACACAGAAACAGGGCTAGCAAACCTGTCAGACCTCCCCTGGTTTTTTAAGACCCAAACAGGCCCTGCACAGCATTACTTTATTGTTACTGGGTCCACTGGAGAGAGTGGCTTTGCTGGAACCATCCCAATTCCCTCCTGCTGTATGCTCAGCCAGAGCTAAAAAGCCGTGAAAAATTCAAGAGTGCCTTCTCTATACCATACTCCCCAGTGCTCTGGGTTTCAAATGAGCCAAAGGCACAGTGCAGATTGGCCCTGTGTGGTGCTGTGCCTGAGCTAAGAAGCACACAAAAAGGGGAACAAAGTGCAACCCAGGAGTCCCTGTGGCCTGCCAAAGTCAGCAGAAGGCCACTGCGACTTCGTAACACCAGCCATGGCAAAACCAAACAGCGTCCACACGGAGCTTAATCAGGTGTCAATGCAACATTATTCTTCTCTGCCAGTACTGGCTGGGGTGATGCGGAGTACTGAAGAGGTGGTGGTGCTGCCATCCAAGAGCAGCACCCTCCTGCAAACAGGCAGCAGCTGCTCACTCTCCAGCCCCTGCCCTTTCCAGCAGCTCACCAGCGTCCTCTCTCCAATGTCGCCTCTCATAGGAGGCAAAAGTCCAGCTGGGTGGTACCACTAGATTCTGTAGCTGAGAACAGTCTGGGTTTGTGTGGCTCCACTCAGTATTAGGAGCTCACTGCTGGAGGTGGGATTTAAAGACACTTATTTCCCAGGATTTCCCTAGCAGCTTGAAGAAGCTGCCATGCCACACCTTTCATATATTCCCCACCTGTGCTCATGTGAGCACTCAGGGGACCATACTCCTGACATCAAACTGTTTATTACTCAAAGAATACCATAGTGATGAACAAATGCCACCTGTTCTTTCCCTCCAATAACTTTTCTCTTTAAAAAAACCCGACCAACCAAACAAACAAAAAAAACCAACCCAAAAAACTCCTCTTCATTTGCTTGGATCTTTGAGAGATGTAATGAGATCATTCCCTTTTAGTTATGGATAAGTTTTTCCCTAAAAATACTGCCAGACAAGATTCCCAATAGCTTTGATTTCAAATCCTCAAATTGTTAATATTTCTCAGCTTGTTAAATACAATATAATGCCAATCATTGACACATATCTCTAGTGTGCACAGTTCTTAGCAGAATAATTGGACCTGTTCATGTTTTAAGAACAGCATTTTAAAAGAAACTATAAATGAAACCTACATAAAACTAAGGATGAAAAAATACACTCCTATTAAAACCATTGCAATAACTTCTGTTCCTTGCCAGTGAGCTGCACAGCTATGAATTTTTTAAGCTAATAAAATTCAATGGCTAAAGCCCAGCCAAGCTCGGGAGAGATACAGAGGATGAGATCCAATAAAATAAAATCAACTCTAGGAATACACCTGCATAAAATCTCGTTAAAATCAGATCTGGTGTTTTCCCATCAAACCTTCTCATTGTGGGACAGAACGAAGCTGTAACACTCCCTGCACTATTGCAAAGAATGAGGTGGGGTAGATGCTGCCGATTTGCTCAGAATTAATCTATGAAGAAAATTTTTGGTTCTGATGATGGAAAATCCAGTGATCAAACATGAGAGCCTTAATAAGATGGTTGAATCCTGCAAACACTGAAATAGGGGATGTGGTCCATGAGTAAGTGCTCTATAGAGGTTCCTCAGCCTTAGCCTCAAGCTTCCAGAAAGATTTAGAAGCTCAAACCTGGAGCACTGGTCAGATCCACCTGATTTCTGCATTAGCTAATATAAAATCCAAATACAAGGTTTAGAAATTCTCTTCTTATTTAACTCACAGATATATATGGATTTTACATGTACCTGAATATTTAAATTCTTCTTAAAGAACAAGAGCAAGAAAAGGCAAGAAGTGATGCATACTAATCAAAAATATGGGTAATCTATTAGTCTATCCACAGGTTGTTGTATCCATGGAAAGAAAGTCACTACTGTGATTGAAATCAATGGAAACACATCAAGCTATCTTTAAATTAGCAATGTCATGTACTGTGAGTAGCCTGGCCGTTGTAGCAGGTTGTCACAGCCCCGCTCCTGCACTGAGCATATCTAATTGTGTGGGTCGGTGCACGCTAGCTCTGCAGTGCAGCGTTTTGAAGGGCTGCGGCTCAGACTCTGCTCTCCAAGGACCTCTGCAAGTTGAACAGACCTGCCTCAGGGCAATCTTGCGCTCTCACCAGCACAGAGAGGCACTCTCTGAACAGTGCTCCATCTCTTGACATGCGATGTGGCATTTAGGCTCTCATCTACACTGAGGAAAATGCCAGCCAGTGACCCACAGAGAGCAAATCCAGCCCCTCTGCCAAAATTCAACTCTTAACTTTAACTGGCTGGGAGGACTGTCTTTCCACCTTGAAAAGTTTTAATGGCTTCAGGTATTTTCTGTTTGCACACCAGAATGAAAGCAAAACTTATGAGGTCTTTCAAGGGATAGGAAGAGAAAGACCACCCCAAATCAGCTAATGTTCAGCCTGATGAGGTACCCACAGACTACACAGTTCCCTACTCTGCCTTTCCAAATGCCTGCTCTCACCCCTCGCTAGGGGATTGCGTGTATTCATGCAAATCCACTGAGAAGTACAGTCTAATATATTTTTCTAAAGTCCAATGGCTGGAATTAAAAACTGTGGCCAAGTTAGGGAGATCAGGGTTACCAGCATTTTGACTAAAACAGCTCACTCAGCGCTAAGGAGGACATTGAGTTTGTTCTTCCTGTAGCTTTCTTCTTTTTTTTTTTTAACTCAGTTTTCTTGTTTCAAAATGAAAAGCTCCAACTTCCTAAAGTAATCTTCCATTTTAGGACTCCAAAGATCAACTGAATTCAACTTGAATCTATAGACAGTTTCAATAGATCAAAAAATATATCCTGATTCACTGATTGTGAAAGAAATTTTATCCAGCTTCTTCCAGCATCTTTTAGCTTCAACTTTAAATAAGAATTTTCAGGAACAAATTGCTTTGACCAGACTAGGAAACACACAGCACTCCAACGATATTAACAAAAAACCCTTGAAATAATAGTTCATTCGTTAGTTCCCAGTTAAATGTTACAGTGCTAGAGATAGAATAGCAATCTACTGAAGAGATTTTAAAAAAGACCACAATCTAAGCTGTTTTACAACCCTCTGAAAGAGCACAGGATCATTAGTAACAGCAACCACAATTTAACAACTTATTGCTGCTACTGACTTATATCACTAGCCTGCCGCAAATGCAAAGTGGAATACCAGACCCAAAAATCACTAGGACGAGCAAAGTAAACCAGCATAGCTTAAGCCACCTTTAATATACAGCCTGCAATCATGTTTCCCCAACCAAATATAAAGTACATGTTTGAACGGCTGTTCTAGCAAAGCAGCTCTCCTTCAGTCACATCTTTTGTTTCTTTCACTTTCAAATTGATTCTGAAGTCATTCTCTTCAGGATAAAAGGGATCTTGGCCTGCAGTACTGATCTCAGCACCTCATTGTCCATGTTTCCATGTGCACAGGATGCCCAGACGCAAGATTTATGTCTCCCTTCACATAAAACACAGTTATGGCAAGTGCCAAAACCTATTGGTAATTCTGCTCCGCAGCGCTGAAATAACTCATCTCATCAAGCAACTACCACTTGCACAGTCAGAAACTGGTTAAAGGTGTTCATGACATCCTAAAAACTTTCTGAGGTTGCAAATTGCTTCATCATTCATTTTCTTCTATCAAGGGGCTGAGGGTGGGGAGGTTCCCATTGCAAATCAAAGTTTTTATACTTCTGGCAGCCCAGGTCAGGCGGGCTTGCATCATCGTTCTCCCTGGCTCTTGTACAAAACACAAAGACTCAGCATCGCCAACAAAAAACATGCCATAGCTGGGAATGATCCTCAGTTGTCCAATTTGTAGATGCTCAGATAGACAGGAAAAAAAGCCACAGCTGGGGGGGGGG